TTCTTTTCCAGGAGATATTCCCGACCCAGGGACCAAACCTGCATCTCCTGCATTGGCAGGAGGATTCTTTACCACTGGGCCACCAGGGAAGCCCTCACTTATTGAATTACCACCATCCTCAAATCCCAGGGGTTACGAAATAAAAGAATGTTTATTTAAATAAGACATTTAACACTGTCATTTAACATATTATTAAAAGATAATTTTAACAGTACTAAGGAAGAAAGAAAGAAAACTGAGTGAGCTTTAAAGACAAATGGTTAAAAAAAAAATTTGATTCTTCCTTTCCTCTATATCCTAGCAGCATGTCGTTTTGGCTCTACTTCCAAACATATATATTCCATATCCATCTACCTTTAAAAAAATCTTCTTTTCTTCCATCATACTCTAGATTATCATCATCTCTTACGAGGATTATTCATTCATTACACAGTAACCAGAATGACTGCCTTAAAATGCAAATTAGATCACCTTATGCTTGTCCTTAACATTTTTTCAATAACTTCTATTCTTGGAATATAGTCCAAACTTTATTTCACAAGTCCTCATAAAAAAACACCATTCCTTCCTCCTTCTACACTTAAGAGCTCACTGTGACAGTGCTCTCACCCTTCACATGGTCCTGCCTTACTTTCTTTCCTACTGTTGCAAGCAGCCAAAAATTTGGCTGGCCTAAAGCCTTGGTGCTTACTCTTTTTTCTGCTTGGAATGCTGTTTGCTCAAATCTTCAGATGGGTGACTTGTCATTCATGTAGCAGCTTAAATGTCCTTTATAGAAAAAGTTTTTCCCTCACCAATCTATCTCATGTTGCCACCTAGTCACTATTACATAGTCCTCTTTTACTTTCACAATCGAAATAATCTTGCTTTTACTTGTTTACTTGCTTCTGCCTATCTTCCCTTTGCAATGTCGAATCCATGGAACAGGGAGTTTGTCTTCACTGCTTGGCACATAGTATACTCTCAATATTTGGAGGGGAAAAAAACACATTTTAATAATTATCATCTTAAATCAGCTATAAATTTAACAACTTGGGTGAACTCTTCCGAGGCTGCCTCAGAACTAAAACATTAAAATGGAGATAACTTAATCCTTTCACTCAAAAGCTGCTCAGTCACTTCTTTTAACACAGGAAAAGTATTTTACTTTGATGACCTTTTTGTTGAGTTTTATCTCCTATCCTCTATCTTCAGTTCTCAGTCACTGGAAGAAGTTACCTATGGACCAAAGTGAGCCCTAATTCCTCTCAGCAGCCCTCCAAGGAGATTAGTTTCTTCATCAGGTTAGTCTCCTTTCTGCTCAATGGCCTTGAAGCTATCCTCACGGAGTCACTTTACTCCGTTTTAAGGTGAGGAGTCTGTTGGGTGAAGTGTCTCTACTCTAAAAGCAACCATCTCTTGGGCAGCAAGGACTGGTCAGAGTCCCAATATATTTTAATATACATATTCTCCAAATGGGATTTTTAAAACAAATAAGAAAAGTTAGATCTCAAAAGTGAAATATTATTATTGCACGTATTTATTGCCCTGTAATGGGAAAATATTTCAAGAAAAATAAGGCTCAGGGTTGTTGGAGATGATACCTTCAAGCATTTCCTACGTTCTTGGATAGTAATAGGAAATGTCCAAAGATTTTTAAATCTATTTTAAGATGTATTTTTAGATTGCTTTATCAGTTGCTGGGTCTTGGCATGTTGAAAAAAATACTAAGGTAAAATTCTCTGTGACTGCATGTGCCAAATCAACAGACCACATCTAAGAATTATTGATAGATGTTCTACTACTAGGAGGGTATATAAGCAGGCACAGTCAAAAAACTGGTCAATCTAGATAGTTAGATTTTCTTAATATTGGAGGATAATTGCTTTACAATGTTGTGTTGGTTTCTGCCATAATCAATGTGAATCAGCCATAAATATATATATGTCCCCTCCCTCCTGAACCTCACCCCCACCTCATGTAGTTAGAATTTTAACAAGAAAATCACTCTATACAAAGTCTCTCTGGCTTGCATCTTTTAGAAAAGTACTGCCCTCAATTTAGTATTTCATCCAAAAAGGCTCATGCAAAATATTTATATAGTCCAGGAAAGTATAAATCAGATGTTGACAATGTACCTATGCTTACTGATTAAGAATAAGTATTTTTAGTGACTGAGTCTATTAGCTATTATCATAAATCTTATTGTCCCTGAAGTTTCCTTTTTCTTAAGGAGTATGGAATACAGTATTTTAATAGGTAGTACTCAACTTGACAACAAGGTTAAATTCTAAAAATGCATATTCATATTTGTTGTTTTGAACTCCTAAGGACAATTTCCTACAGGAGAAATTCAGCCGATTTAATCTACAATACAGTTGAAAGTGTAATTTTTTTCTTTTTTAGTATTTTGAGTACTAATTTTTTAATTTACATTCTTACTGTTGATCAAGAAGGCAGGTATCCTAGCACCCTCTGGAGAAGTGAACTCTGAAGACAGAAGACTGTCTTTTACCCTCTGAGAGGCATTTCTGTACCTCTTTGATTCTCATCAGTTGTCCCTAACACCTAAGAAATTGGTAAGGTGGCTACAGTCACTCTGAGAACACATGTACATACCCAGGAATTAAGCAAAACAAAATGCCAATTATTCTTTCAGAACAGTACCCTTGAAAGAAAAGTTCCCACAATTCAAGGTTACAGTTTTAGTTCTTTAACTTAGAGACAAGAAAATAACTGAAATACAGCAAAATAAAAGTTTGAATTATATGAAATTCAACATAAAGGCAGGAAGCATAAAGCTTGTGACTTGGTAGGTTCATATCCTCCTCTTCTACCTATAAAATGGTAGAAATCACAAGGCAAAAGCACTGTAAAATTTACCTTGGAAATGTAAAGAACAATGTGAAATATTGATTTTTCTCATTAGTTATTAAATTTTATGGTTTCAGAAAACCAAAGAACACTAAAGCATTTGAGTCATTCTTCATTGAGCCTGAGTCTGATGTTTAAGAGATTACGAAGGAAATAAGAATAGGCTTTATCAGAGTTATCGAATAAACATCTTGGTTTAAAACATTTCCAATTTCTCTAAAGAAAACTAGTTTCACTTAAATTTTTAACATTCATATTAGTACTTCCAATATTAGTAGAGTATCTCAAAATATTTTCAAAAATAAAGCTGAGACAGTTTTTCCAAATATATAAAGATTATTTAGAGGGCGGTCTTATAGACAAGTAGCTTGAGATGCTAAAGAAGAGGTAGGTTCACTTTTATTTGTCAACTTTACCTCAACACACACAGCTAAAAAAATAAAAATTGATGAAAAATTAAACAACAAGGAAAAGATGTGATATATCACTATTTTGCCTATATAACCTTTACCTGTCCAACCAACCAATCAGTTAAAAGGAACTAGACAGAAACTTTGTAAAGTGGGTTCTTACTTGGACAAAAGATAGGCATTTTTAAATGACTGCTCAGAACTCCTATCTAATCTCAAGAAAAATCTAACTGATACTGGCAAATTACTTGACCCTGTTATGTTTCAGTTTCCTTTCTTTAAAGAATCCATGGCACTTCTATCCTCCAATGAATCATCAGCAGTAAGTGCTCACTGACTGAATGTAACCTCTGGGTCAGTTGGGCCTCCAGCCACACATCCAACTCTGACAGAAAGTCTCCAACATCATCAAGACCAACTTATAGTCTTAAACAGCCTCTTTTGCCACATAAAATCAAAGTGAGGAAATAACAGAGAATTAAGAATACACATGTATCTATCTCACTTAGCATAACCAGGACCTTCACTCCATCCTGTTCAACATAATGTATTTACTGCAAAAGGAAGTACACTGCTGTCAGAGAAAAACAGTACTGTATGATAATGTGCAAATTATTTGACGCTGTTATGTTTCAGTTTCCTTTCTATAAAGCAGGGATAATAACAGCTGTCCTAACTCACAGGTTCAGCTGAAAGGATCAAATAAGATCCTGAATGTGAAACTACTTGCAAACTGCTGAACTATTACTGCTATCTAAGTTGCTCCTTTTTTGAACTTATGAACTTTCCTTTACCTCCCAGTTTAATTTTAGGCTTAGTTAGAATATCCAGATAGAGAAAATCTACTTTAATAGGATTCTGGAGAGGGCGGTAGATAAAGAATGGAAAACACTGATTAGGACGACGGGCCAGAACACAGGAAGTTAGCCCCAGAATTAAAGTCTTGATGCAAAATCAGCACAGTTTGGGCTTACCCTTTGCAGACACTGGCCAGTTCCCCCAACACACTCAAACACCAAGCTGTACTGTGCTACTTTTAGGTGAATCACTGGGGACAAGTTGAGTCTGGAGGTTTGCAAAAGGGAGGGTAATCCTGATTATCAGGCAGTTCCCCGATCCCTTAAAAAAAAAAAAAATTCCTCCTACTCTTTGTGCCTGGCCTAGTTAAAACCATTCCCGGTAAGAAAATGGCTGTCAAAGATTTCTTTTTATGCCGGGAGAGTCTCGAACCTATGTGAAACCTGTGGCATACCTACTTCCTCCTCCACCACGAACTATTTTGATCGTATAAATTCAGAATAAAACAACAACAACAACAACAACAAACAGATCAGTTTTGTTTCTCCCAAGACTCATTCACAGGCCTCACCCTCCAAGCTTCAGCTCTCTCATCTGTAAAATGAAGAATGACCGCGCCTGTCAACTCCATCCCACTGCTGCCGAACGGATGAATGAGACAGTGCCTGGAAGGCGCCAGGAGTGCTGTCTGATAAACACCAAGTCCATCACTGTTTATAAAGTATTAGGGTGAGTCCTGTTATGCCCTCCCGCCTCAAGGAAATGGCCGGATTAGAACTGACACCCCCAGTCACTGAAAAAAGCAACGCTGAAGCGGGCGGGGCGTTTCCACATTGAATCTATTTCGAGGTGAGAGGAAGGAGGCGACCCTGCGCCCCAGGAAGTGGAGGCGGGGGGGGGGGAGGAGGAGGATGAATGGAGGGGCCGCGAAGTGCCTACCTGTTGTTCCGGATGCTGACTAGCACGCACAGGACCAGCTCTAAGTAGGTGCGCAGCACTTCCAGCCAACGGGTTGAGAGCTGCAGGGCTTCGACTTCTTCCCCGCCAGTCCCGGCGTCGGCGCTGCCTCCATCGCCCGGGCCGCCGCCGCCGCTCAGGTAGTTCTCCGCGGCGAATTCAACACGCAGCTCTCGCACGAACCAGCCGCACTTGCGCATGAGGAATTCGAGCCGTGGCTGCTCCGCGGGCGAGACGCGAAGGCAGATGCGGAGCTGGGGCCAGAGCGCCGGGTAGAAGAGGCACTCGCGCCAGTGCGAGCAGGAGGCCGAGGCCCGGAGCCGGTCGGACGCGGACAGGAAGGAGAAGATGTGCACGATCAGCTCGCTGGGCAGGGACGCGGCGCCTGCCGCCTGCCCGCACAGAGCCATCCGGCCCCGCCGCCGGCTGCCGATCCCCGGCCGCCCCCGCAGTCCCCGGAGCAGCCCCCGCAGCCGTCGCAGCTGCTGCAGCCGCAGCCGCCGCCACCGCGCCACCCGGGCGGCCCCGGCTCGGGTTCGGGCTCCCGGTGGTCGGGGCTGCGGCACTGACAAGAACAACAACATCAATGACAAGGAAGAAGGGGGCGGAACCGTCGTGGGTCTCGGCGGAACCAAGTGCGGCACCAGTTGCGGAGAGGGGGAAAGGCCTCTGCGGGGGTGGCCTCCAGATAGCCAGCCTTTGGCCTCTCAAACTTTACTCACGCGCGTCCGAGGCCTGCACTCTCCGCAACTTCAAAACCCTCGCTTGTACTGGTTAGGAGCCCGGAAGCGGCAGGACTTATTTTAAGGAACCGGGAGCCCTCCCCGCGCCTGGAGGCGGAGGCAGACCAGTGGTAGGAGCTGAGTTTGACGTCACCGGTGGTGGGAGGAGCCTGGGCGTGACTGGGCGCAACTTCCGGAAGAAGGGAGCGCCCGCTTGCCGGTAGGGAAGAGAGACGAGGCACGTGATTCCTGACGCACTTAGGCCGGTGGGGCGGGGCGGGAAGCGCTGCTGGTGCCGGCAAATGGGCGCCCTCTCCCGTCTCTCAGAGACCACTCAGTCCAGTCAACTCTGTAAGTCGGTTAACTTGGGCGCTCAGGAGGTCGAAGTGGCGTTAACTCGCGTTGGTGCGAGAGGTCGTGACGCTTTTCGTTATACGCTTCTCTGTTTCTGGGCTGAGGGCTCAGAGCCAGAGTGCTGGCTTGTGTCTTTCCTAGCCGTCCCGCCTGCCCCGAGTGTTGTGGAGAGTTTCTGAGAGAGAGCCCCTGAGAAGGGGAGCGGGCGCTTTCGCGGGCTCACTCGGAGGGGCTGGGTTAGGGAGAGGAGCCGCGCGGGCCGGGGCGGCGGAGAGGCCGGACCGAGGTGGTCAGTGGACGCCGCCACCCCTCGGTCGGACCTCGAAGTGGACCTGCGCGCACGCCTTGTGTGTGGGGAAGGAATGAGGACAGCGCCACCCTTCGGATTTAGAGGGAGAGGAGAAAACAAGGCAAATGAGTTAGATCTGCTGGTTGATAATCGGCGTCTTCCCTGGGCTTCGAGGGAGGCTCTGCGTTCCCTGTTTTGAGGCCCTGGATGTAAAGAAGCTGGTGGTTGCGGTAAAGGTTTTCTTTAGCTTGGCTCCCCTCGCTTGAGAGAGGGATTTTCGAAAGAGTTTCCGTTAACTTCACCACATCTTGGAAAGTAGTAAACTGGTTGTACAGGGCGGTGAAGTCAGAAGGGAATAGGTAATTTTATGTAACAATTGAGGATTGCATTAGTGAGGCTGCCGCTGCAGACCCTTAGCTGTGATCTCGAAACAGCATAGTTTTTTTGTAATTAACTTCACGAAACTGTTCTACAGGATATTTTTAGCTCTTTGAGGGAAAAATTCCCCATTCGTGATGCTTTGATGCCTTTTGGTGTCTTGTGTGTGATACTGAGTTGTTACCTCTGAGTTATCTGTCTTCCTTTCGGTCGCTGTAAAAACAACAACAAAAAAATGCTTTCCTTCGTGGTAGATCACGTCTCTGAACCTCTGGTCTGCAAGAGATTTTTCTATGTAATTCTTCTTATAATAATTTTATGAATGAATTAATGAGCAGTAATGGAAACAGCAATGAATTAGGAAGCTGAGACTTGGATTTAAATTTTTTATTTTTTAAATTCATTGAAATATTTTGAAGTGGACCATGGGTATCTGAATCTCCCACTTGTAAGTAGTACAATATGTGTTTCTGAAAACATAATCGTATATAACAAAAATAGTGTTAGCACACTTAAGGTAACTTCTGTTATCTTCAAGTTTATCTAGTTATCTCTCAAATATTCTTTATAGCCATATTGTCGAAACCAGGATCCAATTAAAGACCACACTTGTTTTTGTTTATATTTCAAAATCTCAATCTAGGTTAGTCACCCCTACTTTTGGTTTCTCTGATTAGCTAAAGAGGAGGCATATTGACCTGGAGAATATCTTCCCTTCTGTGATTGTTTGACTACTTTCTCTTGGTGTTTAGTTTATTACTCTAGTACCTGAAGTTCTAGTAAACCTGGACATTTAATGCTAACGGCTTGATTAGGTTGGTGACGTCTCCGTAAAACAAAGTGATCTGTGAGGTGTGATGTTTTCTGTCCAACTTTCCCTTCAACCATTCACTTAATGGCCTTAATAATAATTGATAATTCTTGCCTGAATCATAATTTTATTATGGGCTTCCAAATGATAATTTGTAATTTTTTCATTCCATCTACATTCATTAATTTGCATTCTGTATTGGAGAAGCTTTCTGTCATAAACTGGCAGCATTTCATTACCCTGAAATATAGCTTTTATTGGAAAGTCAGAAAAAATGCTTAGTTCTTTTTCTTTTATTACCAATTTTGAAAGTTATATGGCCTCAAAGAGTGACAAATGAGTTTTTGTAGCTTTTATTTTATTTTTCTGAACATCAGGTTCTTAGGATTTTTGTTTTAAGCATTCTTTTAGGTTCTCAAATTTTGATACTTCTAGAACTCCTCACAAAGAAAACTATGTAACTATTATTGTAATTTTAAACAATTCCATGGCATTTTATTTTTAGTAGGAGGCTGAGACTGGATTTTGGTCTTTTCTACTTTTGTCAGGATCTAGCTGGGTAACATTTAAACAAGTTGTTTAACCCTTTGGGGCCTCACTTTCTTCATTTGTCTAAGTTCTGGCAAGGTTCCCTGCAGCTCTAATGTTCTCTGAGTTTAAAAAAGAAAATGCCCTATTTTATTGAGATATGTTTTTCATACATAATTCATTTATTTCAAGTATACACATTAATAATTTATATTATCAAGTGGTACAGCCAACACTATAAATAGATTTTAGAACATTTTCATCTCTTTAATAAGATTCCACATGCCCATTTACCTCCACTTCTACCTCCCCACTTCTACGTCCAGGCAACCATGAATGTACTTTCCTTTTCTGTATATTTGACTTTTCTGAACATTTGATATGAATGGATTGTCTGTCTTCTTTGACTTAGCATAATGTTTTTGATCTTGGGTCATTAATTAATTCCTTTTATTGTTGCTGAATAGAATTTCATTTATTTATGGTTTACTCACTTACCAGTTGATTAACATTATTTGTTTGTTTATTTATGGCCACTGTTAGTTCTGTGATTAGGGATTGAATCCCAACACTGGTAGTGAAAGCACCAAATCCTAACCATTGGACCACCAGGGGATTCTCTGATGAACATTTAGGTTTCTAGTTTTTGGCTATTTTGAATACCATTTCTATAACTCTTCATTTGCACATCTTTTGTGGACATATGGTCTTGTTTCTCTTGAGTAGATACCTAGAAGTGAAAATGATAGGTTGTAGATAGTTCTCTGTATAACTTTTGGAGAAACTTACAAGCTGTTTTTATAGTGACTGTGTCATTTTCCAGTCCTAACAGCAATGTATGAGGGTTGCCAGTCTCTGACTCTTTGATGGTCTGGAGATATTCTCTGATTGATTTGAGAATGATATTTTTTTTTATTCTTAATGTTGTACTAGCAACAAACTACCCTCTCCTTGTTGTTGTTTAGTCGCTAAGTTTTGTTTGACTGTTTTGCTTCTCCATGGCCTATAGCCCAGCAGACTCCTCTATCTATGAGATTCCTCAGGCAAGAATACTGGAATGGGTTTTCCTCTAAGGTATCTTCCTGACCCAGGGATTAAACCTGCATCTTTGGCATTGGCAGGTGGATACCTGCCTTAGATACCACTAATAATTAGTCTTTAATTATTAGGACTAGTTTCTAAAGGAAATAAAAATACAGATAGTCTCCAAAATAGGTGGTTCTGCTTATGATTTTTTAATTTCACAATGGTGTGAAACTGTGATGTGCATTCAGTGGAAACCTAAGTTTGATTTTCCCCAGGCTAGTAATACATGGTATGATACTCTCTCACGATGCTAGACAGTGGCAGTGAGCCACATATCTCAGTTGCATCACAATATTGAGGGTAAACAACCCAATACACTAAAAAATTTAGGTTTTTCATTTTTAGAACAATGTACAATAAGTCACATGAGATATTAAACACTTTGTTATAAAATAGGCTTGTTTTAGATGATTAGCCAACTAAATTTAAGTGTTCTAAGCATGTTTAAGGTAGCCTAGGCTAAGCTGTGATATTTGGTAGATTAGGTATATTAAATTGCTCTTGACTTACCGTATTTTCGATTTATGATGGATTTATTGGAGCATAACCCCATTATAAGTCAAGAAGGACCTCTTTATCAGTCTGCTATAAAATAAAATGCTGCTTCTTAGCATTGCTTTTGAATTTTAGTTTCATTTAATATGAAAATCATTTAATTTTCATATTAAATGAAGGATGGTAGGAATACTATTATTAATAACATTGAGCTAAGACATGAATTAATAAGATATGATCATGCTCAGTTACGATTTAAAAACAGTATATTTTAGGGACTTCCCTGGTAGTCCAGTGCAAGGGGTGCTGGTTGGGGAGCTAATATTTCACATGCCTTGTGGCCAAAAACCCAAAACATTAAATAAAAAGAAACAATATTGTAACATGTTCGATAAAGACTGGTCCACATCTTTAAAAAATTCTTTAAAAAAATACATTTCAATAATGGCATACAATTTATTTTATTAAGTCAGAATCTTTAATATTAATCCATTAAGCATGTATTGAGTATGTATATTCTTAACATGTTAAATGACTTAGGTTGTTTCTCTTGACATTTACTATACTACATAAACTATAAATTATTTTAGGGGAAACTATTTTTGAGAAAGTAACAAAGTTGACTTCTTTAAAGGACAGAATGAAATCACATTTTGTGAAGTTTTAATGTTGGAATGTGTAATGTTGGATGTATAATTCAAAGTGTGGGAGGAAGTACTGACGTTATGAAGACCATAAGTACTCAGTAGTACTAAGCTTCTGGTTCCAAAAGTGGCATATTGTCACTATAGCAACTACCCATGCTTATTTGGATTTGAAACCCAGGCAACGAATAATGGATAAGAGTATAACATCAAGATGGATATGTACCCTGGTGGGGTGATATGTGTGCCTGCTGATGGTCAGGTGTTTGTCCTGTTT